TCCTATCTTACTCCTGTCAGAATGGCCAAAATCAAAAACACCAATGACAGTTTATGTGGGAGAGGATGTGGAGAAAGGGGAACACTACTCCACTGCTGGTGGGAGTGCCAACTTGTACAGATACTTTGGAAATCAGTATGGCAGTTTCTCAGGACAACGGGAATCAGTCTACCTCAATATCAAGCAATTCCACTCTTAGGCATATATCCAAAGGATGCACACTCATACCACAAGGACATCTGTTCAACTATGTTCATAGCAGCATTACTTGTAGTAGCCAGAACCTGGAAGCAAACTAGATGCCCCACAACTGAAGAATGGATAAAGAAAATATGGTACAATGGAATACTACTCAGTGGGAAAAATAACAATGAAATCTTGAAATTCAAAGGCAAATGGATGGAACTAGAACAAACCATCCTGAGTGAGGTAACCCTGACACAGAAAGAAAAACATGGTATGTACTCACTTATAAGTAGATATTAGTCATAGAGGAAAGGATTACGAACCTACAATCCACAATCCCAGAGAGGCTAGGAAACAAGGAAGACCTTAGAAAGACATACATGGTCCCCTGGAGAAGGGGAAAGGGAAAAGATCTCCTTAGTAAATTGGGAGCATGGGGAGGGGGTAGTAGAAGAAAGAGGAGGGGAGAAGGGGAGAGAGGAGGAAAACATGAGTGATCAGGAAGGTCCAAGTTGGGGGGATAACAGAGAGAGCAAAAAAAAAGATAGATACCTTAATAGAGGGAGCCATTATGGGCTTAACAACAAATCTGGCACTAGGGAAATCTCCAGGAACCCACAAGGATGATCCAAACTAAGAATTAAAGCAATAATGGAAAAGCTACCTTAAATGCCCTTCCTCTATAATGAGATTGATGACTACCTTAAATGCCATCCTAGAGCCTTCATCCAGTAGCTGATGGAAGCAATTAAGCACTGAGCCGAACTCCTGGAATCCAGTTATGGAGAGGGAGGAGTGATGAGGGGTCAAAACCATGCTGGGAAACCCACAGAAACAGCTGACCTGAGGAAGTGGAAGCTCAAGGACCCCAGTCTGACAACTGGGGAACCAGCATAAGACAGAACCAAGTCCCCTGAATGTGTCAGTTGGCGGGCCTGGACAGTCTATGGGGCCTCTGGCAGTGGAACCAATACTTATCCCTAGTGCACAAATGAGCTTTGGGAGCCCATTTCCTATGGACAGATACATTATCAGCCTAGATACACGGGGGAGGGCCTAGGCCCTGCCCCAAATGATTAATGATTCCCCCATGGAAGGCCTCACCCTCCCTGGGGAGTGGATATGGGGTGGGATGGGGGGGTTGGTGGGGGAATGAGAGGACAGGAGGGAGAGGGAACTGGGGTTGGTATTAAAATAAGATTGTTGTTAATTTAAATAAAAATTAATTAAAAATAGAAGCATGCGCCATCACTAGCCAGGAAAAGGGGTTTTTGTTTATTTGTTTTAATATTGAAAACTGTTGCTTCAGAAATTCCTTAATCTCTACACAGTGGAATTTTTTTTCATTTCTGTATCAAATTATTAAACACAGGGGGTTAAACACAATGCTACAGTGCTCCTTAACTAACTTACCCCAGACTCCAGGAGCAATTCTACAAATTCTGTTTCCAAATAAATGAAGCTTCTTCAGGGAGGTAAGGTATTTCAATTCTTCAGGAACTTCTTCTAAAAGGTTGTTTCCCAGATTTAGTAATGTCAACTGCAAACATACAGAGTTAAGGTATTTGTACATTATCTAGCTCCAAATGGGAAACGCAGAAGTTAAGACTGCAGAGATCTACAGAACTTAAGAAAACATAAAGATACTATTTTTATCCATTTCTTAAGCTAGCACACAGAGTAATTTCATTATGGCATTTTCACACATGAATTTCATACTAACTAGTTCATATTCATCCTGCTTCCCCATTGCCCTCCGCCTTCCTCTCTAGCCCTCTCTTGCTATCTCCCCAGTTGTGGCACGTATTTCCTCTTCTCCTATATTACATTTATTTTATCATCTTCTCCCCAAACCCAGCTGCAC